TCCCATCGAACCTGCTGTAACTCTGTTTCTGCCTGTTCTCTCCCAATCTGTTATCTATGGTCATACTTAATTCTACACCCCTTCAATCTGTGTGCTCCTAACTTTATGGGTTTTTTTTTTCCATTTAACATTAATTGTATCAGAAATATTTCCCCATTATTATATCATTATCATCACAGCTAATATGCATGGGTGCTTTACTATGTGCCAGTTATGGTGCTAAGAGTTTTACATGCCCGAAATCACTTAATCTTGACAACAACCCTAAAAGCAGATTCTTGGACTGGCCACATTACTGATGGGGTAAGTTTGGCTTAAAAGATCAATTTGCCAAAGCCTGGCAGCTCAGGACAGAAAGTAGACTTAAGCCCTGGTCTGTGTAGGTCCCAAGCCCTTGGCTAGGAACCCCTCCACCCTACCCCCGCCCCCCTGCACAGCTACTCAGTGATGAGTAAGCATGTGGCAGGTAGGGATGAGGAGACCAGGTCATGGGTCTTACAGCCAGGGTGACCTTGGACAAGCTAACTCCCCTCTGCTTTGTTCCTTCAATCAATTCTTTCACCAGACAAGCATTCGCAAATCATTGAGCTATATGCTGAGAATAGAACAATGAATAAAACATGAACCCTGCCCTCAAGGAGATTAGAACCTAACCTGAATCTCTCTTCGTGCACTGAGAAGAATCTAACCCCTGTCCCAGCTCGGTCACGCAGACATGAAATGAATAAAGGATTCAAAGGAGTTTCTCAAGTGCACAGCTCCATACGCTGCAAAGAATAAGTATTTCTGTGGCTGTTCACGGCTGTATATTATTTTAACCACTGGATGTTCCAAAACGCTCTCAATCATCTTCTTATTGTTGGGCACTTAGTCCCAATTTACTGCTATTATACAGGAAGCTCTGATGCGGATTCATCCAAAGGAAATTATTCAAAAGAAAAAAAAAAAAAAAAGCCAGATGCACAAAAAGATGCCAGGCAACCTTCAGAATGACTGAAGGGAGACAGTCCTTCATCTTAAGCTCAATGAGGCCCCAAACCAAATTCATGACCCCTGCGGCCTGCCCCCCCCTCCACTGGCTGAGTCCCCCACGGCATGAGAGGATATCTTAGTGTACTGTCAACCTTCCTCCCTCCCCTGCCCTCCAAGTCCATGGGGCTGACGTTTCTCCTGCAAGGCTGCAGCCCCTCCCTTCCTTGTGGTTCTTGCAGTTGCCAAAGGGACCTTCCCAAACACTTCTGTCAGGCCCCAGTGCATGCATGCCCCGTGCAGACCTACCAAGGCTCCCGGAGCCTCCAGGCTCCTGTCAAGCGGAAATACCTTAGCCTGACATCTGAGAGAGACTGAAGGGAGAGAGCAATCCTGTTTCCTGAGGCCCTGGGATGTGCCGGCACTGCGCTAGGCCCTTTACGTAACTACCACCACACGTGGTCTCCACAAGACAGGTGTGCTTATCCCTACTTTACAGATGAAGAAACTGAGGCTCAGGCCAGCTAAATGATGGGCCCGAGGGCACGTGGCTGGTACACAGTGGAGCTGTGACTAGAGCTTAGGCCTGGTGGATTCCAGAGCCTTGCCAAAGACCCACACCCAAACCGGCTTTCTGAGTCACCTCCCAGTGCACCCAGCCCCCTGCTCTACCTGCCCCAAGCGTACCAGACTACCCACTCTTCTTCAAAGGCATCCCTACTTCCTTCCCCTCTGACCTGGGGGAGTGGGGATCCTTCCCTCACAGCCACTGAAATTCTACTTGGCCTTTGGTGCCCAGCGCAAAGGCTCCTGGAAGCCTTCCCTTATCACCGAAATAGGAATCCATGCTTAGCATATGAACAGCTCGCTCTTTACTCTCTCTGCGTCCTGCCTGTGCCTCTCCAGCTAGACTCTGAGCCCCTTGAAGAGAGGGATGTTTCCTCAGAGGCAACACGGGGCCTGCAGGAGGTGTACCCAGAGAATATTTTTCAAATTGCACAAAACCGAGTAGAACCTCTGAGAAGACACTGTAGGCTGCCGGCATGGCCATCGGGAACGTGGCTCTGGCCCACAGCGCCCAGATTGAAATCAGGGCTCCCCCATGACCTAGCCATGTGACCCTGAGCAACTATCTTTCCCTCGCCTGTAAGCCTCAGTTCCCTCAATCTGTAAAATGGGAAGAAGCATTCCTACCTCACCAGGTTTTGTGAAGATGGTATGAGTTTATGGGTAAGCCCTTGGAACAGTGCCTGGCATGTAGTAGGTGCTCAGTAAATGCTGGCATTACTATTCTTATCCCCAAGACTCCCGCCCACACAGGAAGCAGTGCCAGCCCTCTCCCACCCGCCCCGATCCACCGAGATTCAGGTCCCCTCCCTATAAGGGCCTCCTCCTTCCACTCCCAGCGGGTACCCTGCATTCCCACCCTTGTGTTTTCAGGTTATTAGGGTCCTATCAAATGCGGCAGGGGTAGGCCTGGGTGAGCAGGGGTGCTAACCAGTCTTCCCTGAGAGCCAGTGGGGGCAGGGAGCCCAGAGCAGCCCCACTTCTAGGGGATCTTGGCCAGGAAGCAGAAGGCCAAGGCGACCCCCTCTCTCGGGGCTCCTTGCTAGTACCCCTCTGCCCCATCCCTCTGGACCACAGGAGCACCTGGGCCACAGAACCACCTTTGTCCCGCCAGACCCAACACAGACCTCTCCACCTGGACCAGCCCTGGCATACCGGTTGTGGCTCTGCTGGACCCCAACCTGGTACTCCCAGACACCGCCTCAGGCATAACGTCATGCTAGAGAGGGGGGCTCTGGACACAGACAGCCCCAAGCTTTCCAGCGGTGTAACCGCAGGCAGGTGACACAACCTCTCTGAGCTGCAGTTTCTCACTTGTACAACGTGACTAATGCCTGACAGGGTTGCTGCGAGATAATGCAAATCACTGGCGCACAGTAAGTGCTTAATAAATGCCATCATCCCGATTGTGTAATCACTGATATTACTCCAGGTAGAGATTATTATCCCCTTTTAATCAATGGGGACACAGAAGCCCAGAGAGGCCCACAGAGGGGTCCACGTCGGAGCTAACACAGCCAGTCCAGTCAAGAGACCCTATCTACTTTCTCGGGAGGCTCAGGCCCAGAATATCTCCGGGCATCCAGCATCCTCTTGGCTCCATATACTCCCAAGGTCAAGGGCTACCGGCTGCCCCTTGCCTCAGCCCTGGCCCACTATCTGTGCGGCAGCCTGACCTTTCCTCCTCACCTTTTAGGGGCACAAGCTGGGAGGCCAATGTGAGACACCCCCCCCAAGGGTAGCCTCAGGCTCCAGGCTATAATGCCCAGCCCCTGTCAGAGACCCATGGAGGGTGCAGCCACACCAATGGGCAAGCAGGCATTTGGGCGGCAAGAACCTCAAACCAAGGGATAGAAGACCGGGGTGCATTAGTGCTGGCCCTCCCACTCAGCTGCCATGTGACCTTGGACAAGTCATTCTTCCTCTCTAGGCCTCATTCAAGCTTTCAGTATTCACTAAGTGAGGACTTCGGGGCCAAGCATCGTTCTCATGCAGGTTCTATGAAATCTCCCTGAAGCTCCCAGAGCTGAGCCCCGGGAACTGTCACATGGCCCAGGAAAGGCGTTCATAGTAACAGTGCCCCCTGCACTGATCTCCAGGACCGCCCTGAGGTACCCCTCACGGGACCACGCTCTGCGTGCCACAAAGACTGTGCATGGGGCTGCCGGGCGGGCATGACCTCAGGCTGGCCAGGAGAAGCCAGCTTCCTCCCTGCACAGAGCTGGGCCACAGTGGCTCAGAGAGGAGACTGGCACAGGCTGCCTCTGCCGCAGGCTCCATCTGGAGGAATGGGTGGGCGGGCGGGCACACAGCCGCCTCTATTCTCCACACCCTGGTCCAGGTCAGGCAGCACTGTCGTCCAGGAGCTTCTGGGGGCACCATTCCCGTCCCCAGCTCTCAACCTGGCCCAACGGCTGCTAATTCTGGAAGACTCCTAATGCTGGGAGGTCGGGGAGAGTTGGAGCAGCCAGACCCCACACAGCCCGAGAGGTCCCCAATCCAGCCCTCTTACACTGCCACCTTTGCAGAGGAGGTGATATGCAGATCCAGAGGTGAAGGCAGGATCACGTGGTAGTGCCTCTCCCCCACCAATGCATTCTCAGAGGTGGGGCGGGGGGAGGTAGCAAGGACCGTGGCTGGCGGCAAACAAGGAGACCAGTATCTTCAGAACTCCTTCCTAGTCCTTGTCCAGCCCCTCAAGGTCCCCATGGACCATCCTGGGGCCGTAGCTCTGCCAGGCAGTGGCCTCAGCACCTGGTAAGTTACCCTGGTGGCTACAGTCACTTCCCCCCACCCCATGCCTGTCTCCAAGACCCCAGCTTCTGGATCCTCGGACATTCCCAAGCATGAAGGTGCCAGACACAACTGGAACCCACAAATCCTCTCCCTCTATCTAATCGGGGGACAGCCTCTGGCCAGAACAATAGAAAACCAGAACCCCAGAGGCCCCAGGACTATTATCCATCCACCCAGCTTTGGGTGACTTGGAGGGGCGATGCCATGGGAAGTGAGGCCAGGGTGGGAAAAGGTCCATAACCAGAGGGTGAAGGAGAGGACAGGAGCTGCCCAGCACCCCAGTCTGCAACCAAGAGACTGGCCTGCAGCATCTGAAGCTTGGACGCAGAGATCCAGGAAGCCCCTGGCCTCCACAGAGGCGGCAGGAATGGTCTCAAAGAAACAGAGTGGCCCAGCCAGGGAGCCCAGCACCCAGCAACCGCTCTTCCCAGCAGTAACCAGCAGCCCACAGCCTGCCCACCTCTCTCTCCAGGCCTCGGGGAGGCTGCAGACCTGGGAGGCAGGGAGGAACAGCACGGATCTCCCCCCCACACTGGCCAGGGAGCCAACAGCTTGCAAACTCAGTTCCTCCCGGTCTCGCCCCCAGTCCTCCCCAGGGCTGCAGGCTGGGCCTACACGTACTGAGTCCCCAGCCCCCCGTGCCACCTGACCCCCCCGCACGTGCCTACCTGAGCCCGGGGGTCCCCATCTCGGGCAGGCTGGGCGAGGGGGGGCGGGGCGCCCCGACGGC